TCCATTGTCCGTAAAATCTTAATTATATGTTGTCCTCGCGTATACACTTAGTAGTGATAGACTAACCGTATTCGTCCTAATCTTCTGTGCTTGATCTTGACCTGCTATACGAGTGATATTCTCGAAGGGTTTACTAGGAATAATTTGAAAAGGTTCGGAAGGTATAATACTCCTCTGGTGAGTGTTTTGGGGTTTCGCAGCGAGAGATGACCCGGAGGTCCGTGTCGGATTTGAGTTTATGAGAGACGAGGGTTTCGATATTCGGTGGGTTTGGTGAAGGGTCTTTTCGTAGCCGTTTAATCGGGAAGGTGAGGACTATGCCAATCGAAATCGAATGACGACAACAGATCTTTGTAGTAATACATGTGTTAAGTTGTATTCGTAAGAGATATTCGTTAGAGTTATAGTGCATCCTGTGTTTCTTTTCAGTGTGTTCAGTTTTGATCGATGTTATTGTTACTGCAAATGATTCATACCACAGCAGCTAGTACTGGTAGTAAGTGTGTTCTGATAGCTAGTAATGATACTTTATATCATGATCCCCGATAGGTCACTCTCTGATCGATCGGTATATGCAAGTCGTATGTAATTTGGTATTGATGAAATCGTCGAGTGAGTGGCTCTACCCTAACCCCACTACTAGACATGGAACATGAGCCAGGACGGAATTATTCAATTTAAGTATGTAGTATTTAATTATAATTAACCCTGATGTATACACCAAGTCATCACAACTCACTGGTAATGAGCCTAAGGTCATATATGAGTGTCTTTGATTTGATTGAACGAGAGAGTATTTTAACTACTTTTTGAAAGACGGCAGTTTTAGCGAACATACCAAATTCATTACAAACACATGGTACTTAAACACTTTTGTTGTTGGAAACATTACAAAAGTCCTAATAAGGTTCCTTGTTGCTCCTGCTGGTTTGTTTGTCACACTCCTCCTTCTCCCCCGTCATTCCTCTCAGTTGGACAGTCTCTCTTGAAGTGTCCCATTTCACCACATAGGTGGCATACTGGACTTACACTGGTATAGGTGATTGAAGCGATGTGCCGAGTCTGGGTCCTGCAGAAGCGGGCAGTATGTCCGTTCTTGTTGCAATTTTTACGGTGCAGCACCCGGCAAACCCCATTGTAATGGTAGCCACACTTGTTACACTTTGGGAGTGTTCCCATATATTGTCTGACCGGTGCTTGAGTGACAGACGTTGTGGCTAGTGTTGAGGCATGAGTCGTGACTGATGTCGTAATTACAGGGACAGCCACGGATTGTTGCCTTTTAGCGAGATTTTGAGATATATTGCACTTCTTTTTGTCCTGAAACTTTCGTTTCTTGCACTTAGGTTTGTGGTCTGAGGCATCTTCGTTGGTAGACACCTGCTGGTGTTCTTGACTGTTACTGCGGTTAGTATTGCCGACACCGCCTTCACCTCTGCTGGCGTTGTTAGCATTGAGTTGCGTCATTACGGATGTCACAGCTTCCGTGACCTTAGCTTGAAAAGTAGCAGATTCTATATGTAGGATTGCTGCCTTGCTTGTTGGCTGGTTACCTCCTTATGAAGACATAACTCTGTTGCATGGGGAGAAATGATTTCGTGAGTGGGGATGATTATCTCTAGTTATATCCTTACCATTTATATACACATATATGAATTCCGCACTTTACTGAACTATTCTCGATGTTTCTGCTAACGTTCCTGAGACAGAGTTATGGTAGTGGGTAGAAATAGGTTTTTGTACGGGTGTTAAGTTTTTCCCATCCTAGGATTATGTTTGTCCACACACGCTTAGCTGAAGAGTTCTGATGGGATCCGGTGTATTAGTGCTGGTATGATCGCACCCTATATGCCTACGAAAAAGGCACCTTTCAACTATGAGGTTTAAAAAGGTGAGATGATAATGAGTCTTGACTAAGGGCTTATACGTCGAGAGTTATCTCATTAAGTTTATCTTAGTTCTGAGTGTGTCGTGTTCCAATTTTTATGGTGTTCTGAAAACAATTCATAATGAGAGTCTATATATAATAAACTTATGAATTTTTGGTAGTATTGCTCCCAATAAAATAATACGCATGCCCATTTCATTTGTATGATTCTAGTATATTTAGTTTTTAGAGAAAGGTTTTGAGCCTGATGCAGGTCTACACCACATCATTGCAAGGAAAAGTTTGGACCGCAAATAAATCTCTCGACTAGTGTAATCACTAACTCGTAGGGTCGGGCCTACACATGGAGGGGAGTAGCACCAGCGCATACTCATAGACCTAATCTACAAGGTCTTGTGAGTAAAATGAACTCTGCTCACGACAACACGTCCCTAGTGGTGCTTGAAACGAAGCCGATGCGTCCTGTAGTTCTGCCAACCTATGCTCGGCTGCGACCACTCTCTCTTCGAGTGTCGAGTGTCTATCCTAATATTCATTTGCCTTCGCCTGTGCGGCGATAAGGTCCTTAATGAGTTTGTCTCTGAAATAGTAGTCTCTTTCTAAGTCTCGAGTTTGTGAGATGGTAGCGTCTGTAGTAGTGCGCAGTTCCCTAACTCGATGTTCGTGATCTTCTAGGTCATCACCGGGAGGGCTCTGTTAACCGGTCCCCCATGGTTGAGGTCATTGCAACCTTGTTGGTCTCCAAATGGCGATTGTTGTTGCTGATGGCAACTCCACCCCTCGATCAATGTTGTCCAACGGGGCACAAGTTCGATGTAGTCGAAACGGTTCGCGAGAGTCCTGGCTATGTAAGGAGAGTTATCGACCTCTGGCTCCACTTCCGACTCTTTTCCTAATCACCCACTAACTCTCCGGGTTCGGAAAGTAGGGGTCTCCTGGTAAGTAAAATCTTGCCATGATGTTCATGCGAGAATTGGGGTGAGGTAAGAGGCATATAATAATCATATTCCTAGAAATACTTATAGGGGTTTGATCCTCCTTAGTTATTTCTATAATGACATGGTGCATAGCAGTTACATATAACAAAAGATATAATAGACCTTCGAATAAGTGATCATACTCCAAAACCACAACCAAACAAGGAACAGGAAGTAAAGCAATGATCACAGATTCTAAGTCTATGATATCTAAGTTATATATAACTTTAGCGTATACACTTAGTGATTGTAGATCTACTAGCAAGAATCTGTTTAGTTTTCACATAAGTTATAGTACCATAAAATACTCCTATAGTATTTTAAATGTTATGTTTGGTTCTTAACGATTTTGTGGTATGGGTGTTGGTAAGTTGATAGACTTGTTGTCCACTATGACTATCCCCCGGCACATACTAGTCACTTCCCGGACAAATATAGTTGATCAGGCTATATTCCTCCCATACTTGATTGCATATCCCAATGCATATTCACATTGCACAACTCCTCTATTTTTAACCTTTGTATTGTCCTAGATATGATACTATACTAGTATGTATGCATGCACTCATACTTTTAACAAGAAACTATTTATTTCTAAAAGTATAGTTATTTGAAAATGTTTAATCAGAGACTTGAGTCCCAATGCATTTATAGTTTGTATATCTTATGTGGTTCGATATACTTAGTTCACTATAAACAATGCTCTGATACCAATCTGTTACACCCCCAAACCAAGGATGACGGAAACGTCCGGGGGTGGAGGACTTCATGTATAGTATCACAACAACGAGTATAATAGTGCTCAAAGTAAATACAACCATCATAGATATAATTGAAAAAGTTACACCATAGTATGTGTGTACATGTTTCAAATCAATTACACTATGATGACAAAATGAAATGTTTGACGATTTAACGTCCCATCCTCAAAAGCTGTTGATTTCCTGTTTCACTGACTTCTTGAGAATACAAGTAGTTTTGAAAGAGTGTCAACAATTAAGTTGGTGAGTTCATAAGAGTTTTATTTGAGAAAGAAGTTGTTTTCCTTGTAAAAGCGATAGAGTACGATTCCATAAAATTCAATATTTTCTTTGTTAAGTGTGAAATGAACGCTCCTATAGTATGCAATAATGTACCCTAGAAATACTTGTAGATTCCATCTATAATCAACCAGTGTATAAAAGTTATATAAAATTTAAGTTAAATAAACCGTCGAATATAATGGGTCTGCCCTAGGTCCACAACCAAACAAGGAACAGGAAGTAAGGCGGGCCCACCAATTCTAAGTCGATTGCGACTAAATTCTTATATAACTCTAACATGTACACTTAGCAAATTATAGTTGAAGTCTAACAATTCTAGATGAAACGTAGTTTTAATATCATGAATGCCATTTAGTGTAAACCTGGTACTATGTCATGTATACTTCAAGAAAAATCCCTTATTTTCCTTATAAAAAGTTATGTAGCCTTAAATCCCAAGACAGAGAATAATATTAGACATATTATTTTGTATATATTGGTTACTCATATTTTCCCCTGTAATTTCTCTAAATTGATATTGTAATTTAGGTAGGTTGTTGGCTATTGTACCTATTTATGTATCATATCCCTTTCAATAAGAGATCGATTGATTCTACGGAATCCTTTATGGTATCAGAGCTTCTCTGAAAACCCTAATCCCCTTTGACAGCCACGACTGCTTCTTCTCCTCTGTTTATCTTCCGCCATGCCTGGTGATGAACCAAACCCACAAAAGGGTGCCCTGCATCCCATATACACTGTCACCAACATTCAGAACAAGGTTCGTGTCCTTGATGGTGTCAAAGTCACATACTCGTCATGGGTAAAGTTGTTCAAACTTCACGCTCGAGGTTATAAGGTCTTAGCTAACACATAGATGGCACCGCTTCACCAGCCAAGACTGCTGCAGATTACAACCAGTGGAGTGAGATCGATGCCATTGTTTTACAATGGATCTATGGATCGATATCTGATGATGTTCTTGTCCGTGTTCTTGAACCTGATTCCACTGCATACGAAGCATGGGAAAAGATCAAAAATCTTTTTCTCAACAACAAAGGCTGAAGAGCTGCTGCACTTGAACAAGAATTTACCAACCTTACCCTCCGATCAATGAACTCCCTGGATGAATATTGCCAAAAATTGAAAGATCTTGCAGATCAACTGACGGACGTTGAAAACCCAGTCAGTGAAAAACGACTAGTTCTTCAGATGGTCCGTGGCCTCCCACCAGAATACGACACTGCTGCCGCCTTCATTAACCAAACATTGCCTGACTGGGACACCGCTCACAACATGCTTCAACTTGAGCACAACCGACAGCAAGCTCGAGAAAGCCAATCTGTCACCGGTCTCGCCGCCACAGTAACCGAGGCCAACACGGTTTCTGATCAGCCATCTCGTCCGCCGCCTCGCCCCTCTCGTGGCCCTCCATCTAATCGACAACAGCAACGCGGCCCTAACCGTCGGGAACACCCTCATCCCGGTAATCAATCTCAGCCTCGAGCAATCGCCTCAAGCTCTTCTGTCCCTGCTGGTCAATACACCCACCCACCTTGGTGGGCTATGATGCCACCCCCGTGCCCTTATCCCACTCAACAGGGTTGGGCGTACCCCTAGTACTCCCAACCACGACCCACTAATCAGCAGCAAAATCGGCAACAAAACAGGAGGCACCAGCAACCTCGCAATGAATCCCTTCAAGCCAATATTGTCGGTGCATTCAATGCCCTTGAACCCACTGATATTGGCAATGCCTTCCAAGCCATGACTTTGGAACCTCCCGAGGATTCACAATGGTATATGGATACCGGGGCTTCTTCCCATCTCACAGCTGATTCGGGTAAACTCTCACAGTCTTCTAATTTTAGTCACATTAAATCTATATTTGTCGGTAATGGTCATGACATTCCAGTGATGGGTACGGGTCAAACAAACCTTTTATCCAAACCCAAACCTCTCACTCTTAAAAATGTCCTCTTTACCCCTGACATTGTAAAAAATCTTGTTTCAGTAAAACAACTCACCATTGATAACAATGTTTCCATTAAATTTGACCCTCATGGCTTTTCTGTGAAGGACCTTCAGACTGGGATGATTCTATTGTTGGATTAATGTCTAAGTCCATAACTATAATTGGTAAGACTTGACCCGACCCAGCATGGTCCATTTGGGTTGCATGGCATCATGCATTTGGATAGACTATAATGAGAGAAATAACACTTAGGGTTGGTTAATATATTATAAGTTCTAATATATTAATAAGGTTATTTAATTAGTATTAATCAAGAATTAATTTGGAATTAATTAAGTGATCAAAAGGAGACTAATTAAATATATGGGTTGATTGTGTAAATCATTCATTCTTATATATGTGGGCTTGTGATCCAAGATTCCTTATGTTGGACTAAGTCCATGGGGTGACCCATGGATACTCCATGGAGGTTAAAATCCATGGAGCATAAGGAATGGGTAAAGTTATGAGTTACATGGTGTAACCCTAATAGCCACCATATAAAAGAATCCCATGGCTCAAGAAATCGTGCACTAATGTGTGAATATGAGGGCTAGACGATTTCAAGGAGTGTTCCATTTCTCTCAAGTCATTCCATGTGCATTTGGTGTTGTGTGAACCATTTGAGGTGTCACACTTGGGGCACTAGGCACTCAAGCTTCATGGAGACAAGCTACATCAAACAAAGGTATGTATCTATCCATTTGATTACCCAAGTATCAAGTATTGTATGCTAGATAGAGTAATACCTTGGAAAGTTCATAATTGCATGTATAATAGAGAAAACATAGATCCAAGGTATTTAGGGTTGCATGTACACTTAGGAGTGTTAGAATGCTCAAAACCCATCAGTGGTATCAGAGCCAAGGCTTGTTTTCTTGTTATACTTGCAAAATTAGCTGAAAAATCGAATTTTGGAACCCCTGACAGCATATATTCAACTGTTTTGGCTAGAAATGGACTAGGAACATTACCCTTAGATGTTTTTGGACTTATAAACTTGTTTTTGATGTGGTAATGTTCATGCTAATCCAATTTCAAAGATAATTGTCAATAGATTCATGTTTTGTATTAGTTTAAAAGTTATGCTAATTACTTGAAAAAAATTTGATGTGAATTATCTTTGTTCATATGAGTTTCTTAGATTAATAGAAAAGTTAATTGATTATGTGTTTTCAATCCATTTTAATCTAAGAGTTGATTCTAAAATGTGTTTTTGTAACTTGTCATCAAGTTATATGAAAAGTCACATTTAAGTTTCATAAAACTCATAAAAAGTTGGCAATGGTTACAAAAATGAAGAGTCTTGTCCTCATTAAATGGTTTTATGACTCCATAACTTGTCCTCAAGTTATGGAGGTTCAAGAGTCACTTCATTAAATGATAAAATGTGTAACCTTAATTAGTTCCAAAAGTTACAAAAATAAAGAAAAGTTACATTCTTTTATTAGTTTAAAGTCTTCCATAACTTGTCCTCAAGTTATGGAACTTGAAGAGTTTTTTTAATTAAAACTACTTTAAACACATAAGTTATGGAATTAATTAGTTTTGAATATTTTCAAAACTTGCCCTCAAGTTTTAGACTTTGTAAAGTTTTCCCCATGAATACTTTAATTCCAAGTTAGCCCTTAGAATTTTAAAAGTTAAAATTCAACCCTTATACTTAATAGTATTATAAGTTAATAATAAATATATGTATAAGAGCAAGTCACTCTTACCGTTAGTAGGCCTCATTCACGAAGCCGGTCTATAAGGGGGGTATAAGGTTACTGCCTATAAAATGACAGTTTAATGGGTGTCCACTCTCACCCACCGCTTCCTTGACTGGTGGAGGGTCGTTAGCCGAACGGGTAGGACAAGGACTATAATTCTCCCTTCATTAAAAGTATTAATGATAAATACTAAGTAACTAAACACTTATAAATTCCCAATCTTAGTTACTTAGGAAAATGTGAATAAGGTGCTAATCCATGAAATTACACTTTGCACTTTGTTTAAACCGTTAGTGGAGCGTGTGTGGTTAACCGGCACACTAACCTGGATTTAACAAAGTAGGCAAAGGGTAACTTAATATTTATCATAGTATCGGTGGAGCTCGTGTGGTTAACCGGCACATCGATTGAGGGGTAAATATTAAGGGTACCAAGTATATTTCCATGGTTACTTCACACCTTGTTTTGTGATCCTCGGCATCCCAGTCACAAAACCTGAAGGGCACACTCGAGATTGAAACATGCCATTGAAAAGTTCAATGAATCTCAAAAGATCTAGGAGTTTCAAATCCAATTAAAAACCTAATTACATTATTTGTTTTCATGGTGGAAATTGGTAAATCGTCATTTACCTACCTTCAACTATTTTATAACTCGGATTACGGCATCCCTCTTCCAGTTATAAATAGGTTGTTGGATCCTAGCCTTAATATTTCATATTGGGTGTTATATTAAGGACTTTAGATCAACTATCTTGAATATCTCCCAAAAGATGTCTAGTTCAGGCATCTATGATCTTCCCAAATCTCTTGGAACTTTACTTCCTCCACCTCCTCTAATTATTCTCCCTAACCCACAAGTTCAAGGTCACTCAAGCCCTAATGGCAAGCAAGGTCTATGTGTGATCACATCTTAGAGATGAAGTCACATATTGACAAGCTGGGAGAGTTGGGTGTCAAAGTCTTGAGAAAGTTGGATGTTCAATCAGTTTCTAAGTCACATAATGAGTTCCTTTACGACTACTATGAAACAGACTATGACATGAACCTTAATGATCATATCTATTTGCTTGGTGCTGCTGAATCAGCAATGATTTGTAACGATAGTAAAGCAAATTTGATTAGAAGATCAACTTCCCAAAAACTTTATGGACAGTGACAATGGTGACACTGGAAATCCAGAAAAAGCATTCTCTTCCCAATGCAAAGGGATTGGCCATAGTCAACCCGGTTGACCAAATGGTAAAGAGAAAGGCTAAGTCTGAGATAGTCTCATTACCAAAGGGTCCATATGTTTATTTTGCCAAAGGAAGGGGCGTTGATTGCAAAGCTGCCAAATTTACCTAAGGATGTTAAAGTCAATAAGTTTGGCTCTACTTCAGGTAAAGTCCATTGTCTAACTCTATTAAGTACATGCTGATTCTGATCGCGAAGATGGATTTCAATCGCATGGTTCGGTGATCAGAATTTTGGGCTATTACTTAAGAGTTATGATATTTATATTGCCTAGGAATAGATAACAACAAGGTTTTCATATGGAATTGTAAGGATAAGTTTTTCCGCAAAGTTTTAAAATAAAAGAAAAAGGTTTTGATTTTATTTATTTTAAGTATCCTTACAATGGCATTTGTGAAAAGTTGTTGCTTATAAGATTCCATTGATAGCAATATTGGAAAAATGGATTTGATTCTTTCGGTTGTGGTAGTGTCTAATATTACCAAATAAGGAAAGATTCTCATCACCCAAGGTTCAATTGGACCGAAACTTGGAATCATGCAAGTTGTATAGTAAGATGAATGAGAACTTTCAGCTTGGAAAATTAAGACTAATTCCTTATGTGAATAAGGAAAGGACTAAGGGATCGAGTACACATTCTTGTGCACTGGTCAAGTCCACCACAAAGCTCGTTAAGACTATTTGATTTACTAAAGTTTAGTAAATATGGTTATACTTACAAGTTTAAGTATAATTCTGAAACATTGGAAAAGTCTCAATGTATGGTCGAACGAATGAGAAGAATCAAATTAGGCAGAAAGATAAAAGTTTTCTCAAATCTGAAAAGATGGGAGAGTACTTTAGTATCATGTTTGTGATCATCTTAATGATTTAGAAATCATATCACAATTAGTCCTCTAAAGGTCATCTTAGTGCATTCTTATGACTTTAGAAGAGGAGTCATGAATTGTTGAAATGGTTAGATCAGGAAGATGAGTCATATTTCGTTCCAAAACAATTCTTAGAGTCATACTCCAAGATTATAACTTGAGTGACATATCTTAAAGAAAGGTTTAAAACACTTGTCAAATGTAAGAGTAAAAGTGTCCTACTCTTGTACATTTGAAATTGGTAAGTTGTGATGTTTTGGATAAAACAAAGACCAACTAAGGCCAATTGTGTGAAGTGTTTGTCTTGATAAAGAATCTGCACTATCTCTTGAATATTTGGCAAGATAGTCTTATATGTCAAGAGGACAGTGGGAGTCTTAAAGATCCTAAAAAGAATTTCAAGAACTAATCAAGAATAAAACCTGAGGTTCTTCACTAGCACACGACTTGAGGTTTATAACCTATCATGTTGACATATTCTGTGCCCATTCGAGTTAAAGTTGGCTTTGCATAGGAGTTCTGAAAGTTCTCAATTGGTTGCATAACAACTTGGAAGCAATGGCAGGCCCTGTACTGCCAGGTGGCAAGAAGTTAAGATTGCATAAGTTCAGTCCATATGAGTTTGGATTTGTCATTATCCTTGTCTTGTGACTATGGTTTTGACGATTCACATGGATAAGAACACATACACCATAAAATCTAAGGGTCATAAGGTTTCTCTCTGCTTCATGAAAATGATGGTGAGGAAACACTTCCACCAAGTAGATTTGAAGCAGATGGCAAAAGGTCT